AGATTAACAAAAGGAACACATACATACTCATTTAATATATTTTATATGGCATGGGAACCTTTGTGAAGATATAAAGACCTGAAGGAGATGTTAGACCTTTCATGTGATGGTTGAAGAATGGACAATCTGAGGAAGTGTAATAGGATGAAAGAACAGTATATTAAGGGTAAGAAACTAAGAAGACATGAGCAAGTCTTGTTCAGATTCCTTTTGGGGTCTGCAGCTCTCCAGTGAGTCTTATGACCTGCTTTAGAGGAGCAAGGTAGGGGAAGGTAAGAGATGTTTTCCTACACACAGTGCTTTTTTTTTTTTTTTTTTTAAAGAGTAAAACATTTATTTGGGAGTACAAATGGGGAAAGGAATAATAGCTCCTGAGTGCAAGTGGGGTCCTGAATGGGTTACCAATGAACCCACCTCTCTCAGAAAGTTTTATAGAGCAAAATCATGAGGTGGTTACAACATGAATCAAAACTATAATCAACCAATAAGATTACAAGTGTAGTCACTTGGCTAATATTGATCTAGTAGTAGCAAAGGCATATGAGTGACATCATTAACATTGGTTGATAATCTATACTTTTATTCTCTTTAGTCTTAGTTTTAGTAGTCTTAGTGGGTGGGAGAGGATGACCCACCTCTAATGAGGTAATGGTTTATTTACATGGGAAATCTCAAAAGGCTGGTACCAATATTGTCAAACTTCTGCTTATCCCTTAGGGAAGTATGTAAATCTGGCCATTGTGACTTTAATCTTCTTCAGATATGTTCTCTTCTGCATTAACTTCTTTGAGGGCCTAACCCTGTCTGACTGGCTATAATATTTCTACCTAATAAAGCTGTCCATAATATTCCCCGCTCTGCAGAGGTATCCCTAGGTATGGTTATTGGAGAAGGGGCATAGTTTCCATCTAGCTGCTTGGAGCTGAGAAGGGTCTGTAGGAGAGACTGCAGTCAGGGGCTTTCTCCAGGGAGCTAATCTAATTGTCCTTGGATGGAAGTCATGTTGTAGCTTAGTGGTTATGAACTCCCTCACAAGGTTAATCTAGTGGATCCCAGTAAAAGGAATGTGGCACTTTTGTTGCTGATTCCATCTGTGTGTTCACTTGGAGTTCAGCAGCTTCTGTTTCTGGTGGCTGTGGAAGTCTGTTGGAATTTAGCCACTGAGGTGACATCTTTTAGCAGGGCATCTGTTTCTCTACTTCCAGTTATTCCGATGAAATCTCTAAAATGATACAGGAGGAAAAATGTAACTCCAAACCTGCTAGATGACAGATATGCTGAATTCATGTTCTCTGGAGTCAAAGAATAAATTCTAAGGAACAGTGGAGATTAAGAGTAGGAAAATTTACTGGAGGATAAGAATGGAGAATAGGAATAGCTCCTGAGAGACCGGAGGGGTCCCAAATTGGTTGCCCCAGACAAAACTTTCCAAATCTCTTTATGTTAAAAATATTCACCATCTCGAGGTGCCGTATTTTGTAGTAGTATATTCTGTACCCCATCAATATACAGTGTTGAAAAAAAAATATACACTGTTGAGAGTTGATGGGAGATAGTTTGCCTTCTTTGGGTCCATTTCAGAAATGATTTACTGTAGGAATGAGTGACAAGGGTAATAGCTAATTAGATCAGAGCCTGACGATGATGTCAACCCTACTTTGGTGGTAAGGGGGAATTCTTCTGAATTTCTAGGCACAGGAATTTACACTGACTGGTTTCTTTCAAAGCACTGGGGTGTCTGGGTCAGAAGAGACCCAGGTTAGCTAGGATTCCTCAGGCTAGGTTCCAATCAAAGAATACATTTATCATGTTGCATAAGTCCACCCAAAAGCCAGGACGGGTTTTGAGGTATATGAGGGAACTTAGTAAATAAATGGAGGGAAAATAAATGTGTTAAAAAAGATACATGTGAAGCTGGTAAAGAGAGCACGGGGAGAAAACAAGGAAAAAAAATTACTAAGCAAATCTTATGTGAATTTCCAGGTAGCCTTCTTTAGAACCCAGCGCATATGATCATTATGAACTTTAAGAGAGGATGGGTTTCCAAGAAGGGCCCCAAACTAAAGTCATATACACGTTCCAGGTTTCTGCAAGAACCATAAACTGAACTCTACAGTCCTTGCTAGGTCGAGTTTCTGCTGCAAACAGTCTCTGGAGAGCCAGGTCCTGCAGTCAACCAATCAGATTTGAGAATTAATGGCAGGTTTCCATCCCTCGTTTGCATAGCGCACCCGAGTGCTAACTTGTGCACGAGCTTTATGTCAGATATCCCTTCATTGTCCCCGCCAGCGCGCTGCTTGGCGAGTCTAACCTCTGGGGTTTACAAAAGGCCAATTAAAGCTTTCCTTTCACCTGCATTCTTTTCTTAGTGAATTTTTATTGACATGATTTCGCTCGATACTCCTGATTCTTCTAGTGAAGGCTTAGAAACAAAAATCGCTGGAAAATGTCACATTACTTGACTGGCAGGCAAAACGAGGCAATTCTAACACCCCCTTCCCCCCAAAATAAGACCTAGACAGAAAAACAAAACAAAACAAAACAAACAAACAAAAAAAAAACCACTTTGAAAACTAGAGCTCAAAACCACCAGCTTCAATTAACCTATCCTCCCCTTACTGCCATCATTATTCTCTTGCTCGGTGGCGATTCTGGAAGGCAGGTAAGGCAAGGATAGGCTGATTGTGGCTTGCATTTTTGACCTCTGCTTTTCAAAGCTGATTATTTTCCAGCTAGCTCTTATTTTCGGGGAAAAATGACAGTTACGGGAACTAGGATGTTTTAAAAAACACTTCAGAGGAAAACTTTAGTCTAAGAGAGGGGCTGGGCTTTTTCAACCCCCGTTTCTACTGCTGGCTGCTTAAACTACTGCCTTGTTTAAGGTCTCGGCCCTCAAGCTTTTCCAGGTGAGCATGACCCAGTGTGCCCCACCGTGGCAGCCAGAGCCTTGAACCACTATTTTTTTTTTTTTTTTTTTTTTTGCGGGGGAGAGAGGGAGGCCTCTGTGCCTATACTGCGCTACATTCATTACCTGTGTTCTCATATTGGTCAGCCTGGCAAAAATCATACAGTCGTTCTTTCATCTTCTGTTTAGAGGTAAGGGAATACTCATAGAGGAATTTAAGTTGCTCAAATCCAGGCTTCAGTCAAGACTATCTTGTGCTGAGGGATTTCTCTTTTAAACCAAAATAGAACATTCTCGTGAATACATTGTTTAAAAATTTATTTCAAGGGGCTGGGGATTTAGCTCAGCGGCAAAAGCGCCTGCCTGGCAAGTGCAAGGTCGTGAGTTCAGTTCCTGGTACCGGAGAAAAACAAAACAAAACAAACAAACAAAAAATTTATTTCAAAGTTAGCATTGGGGTGAAGAAATGAATGCCTAAATAACATATGGGGCTCACAAAATTTCCTTCACAACTCTACAAAAGTGAGTCACTTAGTATTCACTTAGTATGCAAAGTAACTTGCTCCATAGGCTTTCGCCACGCTATGGCTAATAAGCACAAAGTGAAGTTTTAAAGCTCAATTTGACATTGCCGATACCCATGATTTCCCTTCCACAACGTGATGTTCAGAAAAATTACATTTCCTTTCAGGTGATTTTGAGTTTCCAAAATGGATTTTTTTTTAAAGAAACATTTGCTGTTGTAATATATGACTTTGCTTTGAAATATATGTGTATTCCTGATCTGTGTTATTTACTGAACCTAAATCTCCCCCTCCTATAATTACAACTAACTTCCTGCTTGAGTTTTTTCTAACAGTGTGGAACTAGTCCTTAGATTCATACCTATGGGATTCAGATCTCATAATTTCTATGTAAGGGACTAATCCCTTAACCTTCATTCTTCAGGTTATTTGTCTCTAAAACAGATGATTCCATTCCATAGAAAGTGGTTGTAGTATAATCATCATAGTGTTTGCAAAGATGATCCACAAACCTAAGTGACTTGAAACTCTTCTCTCTTAAAATGACATTTCAAGAAACAAGCTGTGGACAAGGTCCAGCACACTGGGAGAGTCAGGAGGAACTCAGGAGTCTGGAGCATGAAAGTGGAATCTAGGTCGGGTGTGGTAGCACACGCCTGTAATCCCAGCACTCGGAGAGGCTGAGGCAGGAGGATTGTTCTGAGTTCGAGACCAGCCTGGGCTACAAAGTGAGCTCTAGGCCAGCCTGAACTGCATAGCGAGACCCTGTCTCAAAAAGACAAAGAAAAAAAGAAAAGAAAAGAAAAAAAAAAAAAAAAAAAAAAAGGAAAGGGGAATCTAGTAGGAGCAGATGCGTCTCAGACCATCACTTCTCCCCAGGATCGATGTACTACATAGCAATGATTCTCACCCCTTCCCTCCTCCTTCATAGTACGTTGCCTGTTCTGTCTCTAAAGCTTGTATGTTCACGTGGGCACAAAACTAGGATGAATGGAATAAAGCCCCTGACCTTCACATAGTAAGAGAATGATAAAATCAGTGAATAAACTTGCACTCATTAGTGACCTTGGAACTACTGGCAAAGTTGTGGGATAAAAGTCTGGTTGAGATATATGGTTTAGAAATATAATCAGGTAAGGTTATGTTAATCCACCACACTCAGCTCTAGCCATGCATAATCTAAGATCAGCAAAATGAAAAAACGTTCTCTCAGGGATCTTATTTAGATAAAGCAACGCTCAAAATTGCAAGTGCTAACTGGTTATTCCCCGATTAAGGACAATGGTATAATGAAAAAGTGAAACTGAAAAAGGAAAACAAAACCTGTCTAGGGAGTGGCGGCGCTATTGGGGGAAGGGAAGAGGGAAATTGGAGGCGAGACCAGTCTAAATAATAGGCGTTTTTCCTAAGCATAGTTACCTTACATAAGTGGAAAGTAATGTTTAACCCTGCGTTGTTTAAAGTATTAAGGAAAGAACCACCACCATGTAATACCCTAGCCTAGAGTTATCAGTTACAGATCTTTAAAAAGATAACGTGGGTGGCTCTGAAAAGAGCCTTTGGGGTGCAGGTAGAGGAAGGAGCGCTCACTTGGAGCTGGTGTACTTGGTGACGGCCTTGGTGCCCTCAGAAACGGCGTGCTTGGCCAGCTCCCCGGGCAGCAGCAGCCGCACGGCGGTCTGGATCTCCCGAGACGTGATGGTCGAGCGCTTGTTGTAGTGCGCCAGGCGCGACGCCTCGCCCGCGATGCGCTCGAAGATGTCGTTCACGAACGAGTTCATGATGCCCATAGCCTTGGACGAGATGCCCGTGTCGGGGTGCACCTGCTTGAGCACCTTGTACACGTACACGGAGTAGCTCTCCTTGCGGCTGCGCTTGCGCTTCTTGCCGTCCTTCTTCTGCGCTTTGGTTAACGCCTTCTTAGAGCCCTTCTTCGGGGCCGGAGCTGATTTCGCTGGTTCAGGCATAACAGCCACAATTCAAGAATCCAACTGGAAAAGAAATGAGAGTCTGAAGCTGCAGCGGCGTTAATATTTGTAGGGCTTCTATGCAAATATGGCGTTTCAAGACTTAGGCTCTGATTGGGTAGATTTTCTGCAGCGCAACGTCACATGCAAATAAGGTGATTTCAAGTTCTCCTTTTCAATTGGTTATATGCTGCAGTTTCTTTTTAGCCAATCCAAGAGTGTAGTTTACAATCCCTAGTGGAAGTATAATAGGTTGCCGTTAAGGCAGAGAGCATTTCCACAGATTTTTGCTTGTTCTGTTCAGAAGCTTCTTTACGAGTCAGTTATGTCTGGACGCGGCAAGCAGGGTGGCAAGGCTCGCGCTAAGGCTAAGACGCGGTCATCCCGCGCCGGGCTGCAGTTCCCGGTGGGGCGCGTGCACCGCCTGCTCCGCAAGGGCAACTACGCCGAGCGCGTGGGCGCCGGCGCCCCGGTATACCTGGCGGCGGTGCTGGAGTACCTGACGGCCGAGATCCTGGAGCTGGCGGGCAACGCGGCCCGCGACAACAAGAAGACGCGCATCATCCCGCGCCACCTGCAGCTGGCCATCCGCAACGACGAGGAGCTCAACAAGCTGCTGGGCAAGGTGACGATCGCGCAGGGCGGCGTGCTGCCCAACATCCAGGCCGTGCTGCTGCCCAAGAAGACCGAGAGCCACCACAAGGCCAAGGGCAAGTGAAGCAGTTCATCAGCGTGTGGCGTTCTTTTACACCCAAAGGCTCTTTTCAGAGCCATCCACATTTCCAAGTAAAAGAGTATGTGGCAGAAAACACTAGGTTAAAATTACTGGTTTTGGACGTTCGGCTTGGTTTTATCGTATGAGAGTCCGTGTAGGTCACTTAGTTGCGGGCGAACTGACCAGTGGTTTTGTGACGCTACTATGGTTGAACGTTGTCCGGCAATACGGGTTTCCTACAAGAACATTTAACACTAGTGTTTTTTAACATCTGGCAGGAAGCAAGTTTCATGTTTGGAGACAACAGATAAGTCTCCTAAACGGGGAAACCAAAAGTAAGGAATGAATGCAGTTTAGCGAAACTCCCCAGAAGATAGTAGCAGGAGTAGTAACCTAGGATGTCATTTAGATTAGACAGCGAATTGATTCGTTCCTTGAGAAATCAGGGCCGTCGGTTCATCAAATCCTGAGCGGAAGTAAAAATTACATTTAGGCCAATCTCAGGATGTCACTTTACATTTGTAGTGCAGACCATACAAAGACCAGACTAGGAAATGGCATGTATAAACCTTGCAAGTGGGGCACAAAGCAAAATACAAGGATTCCTGAAGTGTAGTCTTTCCTCCGCAGCATACATTGGCTAAATCAGAACATTTACAGGATTTTCAAGTGTTCCCCTGCAGGAATTACAGTTCCAGAAACTCAAGAGTTAGTAATTTACGAAATGAACTAGGGGTCGCAGAGTAAGAGACCTTGCCGGATTAGAAATTGCAGTAACTCATCCAATCAGAATCTCCAGTTATCCACCAATCACCTCGTTGACTTTCAACCAATAGTTTTAGTGCGCGGGGCTTTTGAAACGCATACTGGCCAATCAGGATGTTTCTGAGCATATATAAAGGCGAGCAGCTAAGGTGTTTTCAGCTGGTTGTGTTTCGCTTGACATGGCTCGCACTAAGCAAACCGCTCGTAAGTCTACCGGCGGCAAGGCGCCGCGTAAGCAGTTGGCTACCAAAGCTGCCCGCAAGAGCGCTCCAGCCACCGGCGGCGTGAAAAAGCCTCACCGCTATCGCCCCGGCACTGTGGCGTTGCGTGAGATTCGTCGTTACCAGAAGTCTACCGAGCTGCTGATCCGCAAGTTGCCTTTCCAGCGCTTGGTGCGTGAGATCGCGCAGGATTTTAAGACCGATCTGCGCTTCCAGAGCTCTGCCGTCATGGCGTTGCAGGAAGCTTGCGAGGCTTACCTAGTGGGTCTGTTTGAGGACACCAACCTGTGTGCCATCCACGCCAAGCGCGTCACTATCATGCCCAAGGATATCCAGCTGGCGCGGCGTATTCGTGGGGAGAGGGCCTGAAACTTGGCTGCAAACAAATCAAAAGGCTCTTTTAAGAGCCACCTACTACGCTGAAATAGCTGTAATTAACTGAGTATTCATATATATGTAAGTACTCAGCAGCTGGATCAAATTGAACTTTAAATTGTTTCAAGGCTTGGACTTGGTAGGCTAAGCCTTAACTTCGAGGGGGGTGGTGGAGTTTTACAATTCTCGCACGTGTTTAAAGGGTTCAGTGCACTGGGAGGCTTGCAGGTTTGTAGCAAATTGTCAAGAAGGCGTGTGCTCCATGACACCCTTCAAAAATCCCCAAGTGTATACGGGCAGTTGGCCTACTGGTGATACATTTACTATTTAATGTCTTTGTGCGCAGGTGTGTTGTCGGATGCCTATAATCCCAGTATTTAAACTGAGGCAGTATCCTGCGAGTTCGAGGGCAGTCTGAGCTACAAAGTGAGTTCCAGGCTAGCTTGAACTGCGTAGAGAAACTCAAAAAGACCAAAAGGCTTGGAACCTCACTGGGTCAGTTTTCATGAGTTAAGGTAAAAGTGAGTCAAATTTTTCCTTTTCCTTAGGCTTTGCTAGTAGATTATCTTAAAAGTTAAACGGCCCTAGCAGGGTTTCTACTATGAGACAGAATCTATACTAGAGTTCAGGTGGGGTTGACACAATGCCCTTAAGTGTTTTCCACCCAGCAGGAGACTGAAAATCCAGTCAGAATTTGATTGGAGTTGGATTGTCAGACCCCACCTAGGACTAGGGCTAGAGAATCTGTACCAAATTTGGTACTAAAAAAAAACAAAAAGTTATCAAACTCAAAACTAGGTTGAGGCCTAGTTTTAGTAGTGTTTGTGATCATAAAAAGTGTTAACTTGTGAGTTTTTGCCTACTATAAGAGAATGAACTATTTTGTAAGTGTGCATAATCAGCTAGCTTGAGATTTCTGTATCACTTGGTGGTCTACATTACAGTCACTTGAAGCTTTTATAAAAGACATCTTGGAAAAAAAGATCTTGGGCCCCATTCCCAACTAATGTAACTGCAGTCTGGGGTGAGGGGCGGGCAATTCAGATTTACCCAGCTGTAATTAATGTTGACACTGGTGCTACCCATAGGTACCTGGGATTGAGGCATCACTACATGAATTTCAGCCTAGCTTCTGTTTGACCTCAAGTTTAGCAAGGAGTTATCTAACTGAAACAGGCTTTCCTGTTTGCTGTCATTTGCATCGACAGAGAAATAGTAGTTTCCAAAAAGGACCTTCTGGCTTGCTTGACAACTGTGTGACTCAGTACAAGGAATCACTGTTAATGGTCACCTGACATTCACAACAATCTGTCTGTCTGTCTCCCTCTCTGTCTGTCTCTTTCTCTCTCTGCACTGGGGATTGGACCAAATATTTTTGCTATGAATTACATCTCCAACCCTTATTTAGTCTTTCAAAAAGTCATTTTAGGTCACTAAGTTGTCTCGGCTAGGTGCAAACTTGGCAGTCTTGCCTCAGCCTCCTAGGCAGTAGGGCGATCTCTGAGGGGAAGGCTAATGTGAGTGTATACTGAGACACAGCTGCACTCACTGATTGGCTGCACCAGGTTATGGGGGTGCTACCAGGAGGGCAGGGCACGATTCTAGGACTTTTGTCAGACATCCAAATTGCCTTTCTGTCATTGTACAAGGGCTTTTCTACACACAATTAGCACAAATTCCTGTTTAAATGTCAGCAGGTCCTTTGTCATTGCTTTTATTTATTGACCAAGTTGTCAATTTTCAGATATTTTCATTTTTAAACACTTTTACTATGTAATATTTAAGTAAAAGTGCTTTGTATACTTTCACTATGTGAGAGGTCAGCTTAATAAAACTATGTACATCTTATCCACTCTGAATATCATCAACATTGGCCAATTATTTAAATTTGCTTTGAGGTACTGGGGATTGAACCCCAGGGCCTCTGTACTGAGCTACGCCTGTAGCCCTTTCTTTTTTTATTTTTGACACAGTATCTTGCTAACTTGCTAAGGTACCAGGGGAAGGCTCAACAATGAGCAATCCTCTTTCAGTTTCCCAAGAATGCAGGGATTACAGTGGTTATACCACCATACTCAACTTGTGTCGGCTATGTAAGAATCTAATTATGATGGCATCATTACTGCTGCAACAAACACTTAACACTGATGAATTTTATTTTTTGTTTTTTTTTTTTTTTTCTTTGAAACAAGGTCTTACTGTATAGCCCAGCTTGGCCTTAAACTCACGCTTGCTCCACAGGCCTCAGGCCTCCCAAGTGCTGGGATTCTAGGCATGGGCGACCACCTCCGGTAATGAATTTTAAATGTATTTGTTGAAATTTTACAGTGTGTCTGTGCATTGTGTCTGGAGAACAAAACAAAATTCCTGCTCTCTTGGAGCTTGCATTAACTCTGTGATAGGTAGAAATTAAACTGTACACATAGCATTGTGTATAATATTAGATAATAAGAAAAAAAGCAAGAATGTGGAGTAAAATTTGGAGCTGAAATTTAAATATGATCATAGTGAAGATTTCACAATAAGTATTTCAGCAAAGTCCTGAAAGATGTGAGGAAGCCAGATGTGTGACTGTCCTTACGAAAGAGAGGGAAGTGCTGAGGTAAGAGGGTGGGCTAGGTGGGATGGACAGGAGACAACAGAAGAGGAAGGTGGAGAAAAACAGGAGGCCAGAGCCTGCAATCTGATAGATTTTAGGGGAGAAGAATTTTCCCTTCCACCCTCCCTCTCCCAGGGAAGGAGGTTTGGGTTTGAAACAAAAATCAGAGTAACAACAGAAACAAGTTTACTAACATGTACATTTCACAGGTACATGGGAGACAGGTAATGTGTAGTTTTCACAGGAGTGGCTTTGAATCCTAGCTCGTACAACACCTTCAACAAAGTACAGTAAACATATAAAGTGCTATGACAGAAGAACAGGGCTTTGTGTCACTAGGGCCCATGTCTGGGTGACAGGCAACAAATAGCAAATAAAGGATGATTAATAAAGCTTATGAATGGCCAGTACTCTGGGATGTCCCCCACCCTCCCTAAGGTGAGTACTGTCTTTAGTGTTTTTTTTTTTTTTTTTTTTGGTACAGGGAGTAGAACACACAACCTAGGCTTGTCAGGCAGGCACTGTGCTGCTGAGCTATATATATCTTGCTCCTATATCTTCTTCTTAATTGTTTTTAGCTGTACAGTCTTTTTTATTTTGGGGTGACACATTTTTTCCGCCCACAGGCCACTGCAAGAAGTCTGGTTTTTCTCTAGATGAGAAGCAAGGCCCCTAGAGGAGTTGAACACAGGAGTTTTTGTGTCTGTCTCTCAAACATGCAGCTTCTGCTTTATTTTTAGTTTCTTTTTTTTTTTGTTTGTTTGTTTTTGGTTTTTCTCTGGTACCGGGAATCGAACTCACAACCTTGCGCTTGCCAGGCAGGCGCTTTTGCCGCTGAGCTAAATCCCCAGCCCCTGTTTTTAGTTTCAGTCGTGCTCCAGTATATAAAGTGGGGTCCAGCTTTCCTTCTGCTTTGTGCTATTCAAATCTTGAAAATAGAAGCTAACCTGAAGCTTCTTATGATGTGGGAGCCTAGAGTATGCTACCCCGAAATATGTCCCATTTGGCATGTGAATTGTTGATCTGAAGGAAATTAAGAATCAGCCGAAGCAGAAAACTTCATTCTCTATTTTTTTAAAAGCACAGCATAGGTTTAGCTGCCCTTCTGCCAGTTGTAGAACAAAGGCAATCACTGAAGACACTTCTTTAAAACATTTACTGCTTTTAGTTGATGGTGCTTGTATAAGCCAGAAATAGAAAAACACTTCTTTGGTAACTAGTCATTCTCTAGGTTTCTCCCACTGTATCTATGAGATATACATAAAAGTGAATTAGCTTCTGTTTTACAGTTTGTTCTAATTAAGAGTTTATGATGGTTGATGAAAGGATTATTTTTCCTTCCCTAAAATAGGGAGAAAAGGAAAAGTCTATAAAAGTTCATTTAAGGTTGAGTTTTATTCATATCGGTGTTGTTTCAGTTGACTGGCTTTATAGCCACAGGGAAATTGTTTTCCTCATTGTATTTGTATGGAATGCAAAGTTAAATGTCTTCAGGAGCCAGGCAAGGGTTTACTATGTGAGCTACCCAGCTTTATCTCACTGGGTCAGACTGTAAAAGGCCTGGCCGAATTGAAGGTTTCTAACTATTAATTGTGAGTTCCTGTTGCAGTGTCACTGTTCATTAAGTAATTTGCCTGATAGAGAAATTAACAACACCTTTCTTGTGAATTGTCCAGGTGGTGAGGACTTATGATTTCATTGATTCAAAACTCTGTAATTTCTGCAGGACGTGGTGGTGCACGCCCATAATCCTAGCACTAGGGATGTTGAAGAAGGAGGATTACCATGAGTTCTAGGCCAGCCTGGGTTTCACAGGCTGGACTACATAGCAAGACCCTTTCTCAAAAAGAAAAAAAAAAGTCTGTAATTTAGTGTCTACCAGAGTTTTTCATATGGATTATTTTATGTAATCCACACAGTATTTCTATAAGTTAGAATTTGTAGTTCCCCAGTCAATCCTGGGGCTCCCCAATCGATATTGGGGAGTAGTTCCCTAGTCAATATAAGGGCTCCAGAGTCAATACTGGGGTTGTAGTTTCCCAATTAATAACACTGACACTGATTTCCAGTGAAGGCTCCAGCTTTAATAAAAGAACGGCATTGACAACACCAGGAGTGGGTTTACCGACCACAGTTTATTAAAGGAGCACACTATCTTAAATACATAATGAGAACAAAGGTGCTCTTTACTAACTGAAAACAAAAGGCATTCTATGAGAAAGAAGCTCAAAAGATAGTTCAAGGAAAATACATGTTCCACTTGAGCTGATAGTGTTGGGGGCTGAGCTGGTAGTATTGAGGACAGCTTGGGATACAGCACAGAAAATGTCTCCCATATCCTGCAGCTGAGAAGCCTTGGCCCCTGCTCCAAACCATGCTATGGTCCATCTTCAGGGTCTTTTAGCTGAACCTTCAGGAGAACCTTCAGGACAGACCACATTGCAGTTTAGGAGCAAAGTGCTTCATATGCACATTCTCAGTGCTGACTCCCACAGAACTCATTACTGTATTAGACCCACTATAAGGATGAAGAGATAGAAGCACAGTAAGGGGAACAGCTGCCCATGGTGGTTTATTTGGATAATGAAGCTATGACTAGATGGACATGGTATATTACATATATGCATTTATTTCCATTCACCCATTCATTCAACCAAGACTTTCTTTGCTTTTGGGGATAGAACCTGGGGCCTCAACATGCTAAGCATTTACTGTACAATGAGCTTCATCCTCAGCTGGTGGAAATGTTTTGAGCATTTACCATGTGCCTGGCATTGCTTAGGTGCTGCAGATACAGCTGTGAATAATAGGTGAAGTCCCCTTTGTGTGGAGCTTCTTCACATTCTTGTGGGAGACAGAAAATAGACAACAATACAAAAATGCAGTGTAAAAGAGATGAAAAGCATAAAAGTGATAAGGGCATGTAGGACTGCCAACGAGTGGGGTTGTGGGTTGTATCATTAAATGGGCAGGTGGAAAAGGCCTCACAGGGAAGATAAGACAGAGTGAAGGACTGAGGTCTGGAGACAGTGCCGTGTTTATAAATCTAAAGGAAGAGCATTCTACAGAAGCGCCTGCCGGGCATG